GGGGGGGGGTGTATACAGTATGTGTGCTCTGAGAACTTACGCAATTATAGTTCCTTTTTGCATTACCATGCTCACTAAAATGCTGATGGACGTACAGCCCTAAGCTGACACAAGCAATCACCCTGCTGCCGTGTGTGTGTGTTTGGGTGTGTTTTGATTCTTTCCTCTATGTTCAACTTACTTATAAACTGGATGACATTTGGTTCCGGGAGTTGATCTTTTTTACCTCTGTATGGGTTCAAAGCGGTTCAGGGGTCACCTAGAAACAAAAGACCCCTGGATCTATGGAGTTCAATGCTCTCAAGGAAATTGAGAAAGGAGAATGCTGAAAGGGGCTGTCTGGCCAAAATGCTAAGCTCAAGCACAACCAATAACATCATCCTCACTTTTTGGCTCCTTGATTTTAATAAGCTACAAACTAGTGTTCAAAACAAGATGGCTTGTGTCTTATGTAGATAGCATGAAAGGCAAGCAATGTAATGGCTCGGCATTGATATGTGTGGTGTCTTGAATGTCTTTTCCTTCCATTGACACAGTCAGACAGTGCTCCCTTGCTACAAAGGCTGGGAAGAGAGCCTAATTGGCGCAAGAGAAGAAAGAAAAGCCTTCCTCTGTTTTGTAACACAAAGAATTGCAAGCAGCACTCCAGCCCAGCATGATTTGAATAGCCTCCAGAGGGAATAGAGGAAGAGGGAGGAGAAGGGACGGGGGGCTAGAAAGTATTACATGTGGAGGAGGGCGTCTATGCTCAGCCGCTCATTAACAAGCTGGTCTGATTAAAAACCCCTCACTAATGACTGTGTCTCGCGTAAATCAATAGTTATACTGCTCTTTAAAAAAGGTCTGATACACATTAAATGGCACGTTCTTCCATAGGAGCTGCACAGGGGTTATCATGGTATAATGGGTAATTAGATTATGGCTGCGTTTCCTGCCAACACATGTAGGCAGCTGTGAGGCTTCAACTAGTAATGTTATTGAGTCAGCGGGTTGATGGGCTGCAGCCACCCTATTCACACAGCTGAGGTGTGTTGGCTTGTCGCGGCCAAGGAGAAAAGGAAAGGAAGCATTTGAATAGGCGGTCTACAAACTAGGCAAGTTATAGGTTGAAACTGACAGATGACACGGAGTTATGCGGTGAAACGTTGTATCTGCAAAGCTGTTATAGAGAAGGGTGAGCACAAAAAACAGTCGGAGATATAGAAAAACAGATCCTTCCGATATTTAAATACCTTTTACCTTACATTTTAATTTTGCTTTAACAGAAAACAGCATTCGCTGACCTGGCCATTAAACTAATAGCATGCTTTGGTTTATCACATCTTTATAGCCTCTCTTTGGGAAGTGCTGTTCAAACACAATCCTCTTCGTGTTATTGAACAGGTCTGCTGTGGGAGAAACAGGTGCTTCTCTGTGACTTGGAAACAGGTAGCCATATTTTCTAAATGGCAGTAAAAAATATGTTGTCTGGTCAACCAGTCGAAAAATGTAGCTGCTAACTCTGTTTAAACAAACTGTCGCTTCGGCAGCATGATTACCAGTTTTCAGGAGTGTTGGGGTCAATACAATTTACCAGAGCCTTAATGGCGCTTCAACTTACGTGGAGCAATTAGCACCAAAAGCTGGCTGATACACCTCTGTTTTAATTGTTAGGAAGCATAACGCTGGCAAGATCAATTCCTGTCAGTCTGTTTGAAGAACGATTTCCAGGAAACCATTTTTTAGCTCTAATCCTTAAGCATATTCCCCAATGATATGGTATTGGAAAATTGGATTTAAATGTTACAGCATGTACACTTCATGGGATTCATGAATAATGCATTCCTTAGACAATATAATTCAGACAGTGTGACTGAAACATACACTGAAGCTGTTGTTCTTCTTTTGTATGCGATTCATGGCTGTATAAGAGATAGGAGATAGTGAAGTGAAAACGTTTCATCTTATATTCAAACCGCTCTTCCACATATGTGGACTTGAACTTCCCCAGTGGGCTGCCAAGGCCCCAATTTGAAGCTGCCACACCACGGGTCATATCTTTCTCAAAATCATCTTGAAAGAACGTGGTTTGTTTTTCCTTCGGGTTTGAACTCTTTGCTGAAGGGTCTATGTTGCTGAAATAAAATCATTGTCAGCCTAGTCTTATCCTGACTGACATTGCGTTGCCAAGCAACCCTGCCTCCCAGAGGCCATTCCTCGATCCTTGTGTACAGACGCATATGGATGGTGCACGACTTTTCCAGGAGGCTGAAAGGGCACCTACGTCTCCATCCCAAATGCATGCAAATCGGTCGCTTTTTTTTTTTTTTTTTTTTTTCTTTTTGAAAAAAAAAAAAAAAAAAAAAACACGCCTGCACTGTTGCTGACTCAGCTGTTGATTAATAAACCTGAAAGCCTCACACCTCACATTCTTATTATTGTGCTGTAGCATTTGATGACTCATCTTTACTTGCGTCGAGCCATTAAATTTGGCTTCATCAATTTACCACTTTATGGTATCCAAAGTACTCAAGTTGTAAACTTCCACCCGATTCATCTCTTACCTTATAAAAACCCACATATTAGAACATATTATCATCATACTAGTGGAGGAAAAATACCTCTTATGACACTCATTTTATTTCTGCCTGACATTTTCTCGTTGTGAGACAATCTTTTGGCTGCACTGATTATGTTCAGGGTACTATTATTCATTTACAATGGATTTTACATATATTTTGCACACAGAGTTCGGATGGTGGACATTACAAAAATGGCCAGACTTGACACAGGAGAATGTGTTCACAGTCCTGAGTCTTGTGTGTGGTTAGGTTTATGAACAACAGAAGGATTTCTGTATTAGTGACAGGATTACAGGCTTCGTGTGTTTTTTTCTTTTTTGCTAAATTTCAATGAAAAAAACAACTTCCATGTCTCTATGCTCTCAAAGTCTGGACTTGACGAAGCACCACCATATTTCCTAAGCCTTATTTTAAGTTAATGAAAAACACAAACAATTACTACATTCAGATGATATATACTACAACTAATGAAAACCCTGATGGATATTTTATTTCACACAGCTGGACCTTTAAAAAAAATTTAATTAGTGTCAAGTCGAAACATTTTTTGCAGATACCACCCAGAATTGAGATTTTGTGACTTGGAGAGTTAATGTACATTAACCTCCTTATATGTTGATAAAAATTTGTAACAAATGGTAGATACATCGCTTACCCTTAATATACAGAACTTTATCCCCAACACGTTAGCAGCCTTTAGGTTTTGTTTCTCTCGACAAGACACCTGGTGGGCAGCCTGCAGGGGGGATTTTCAATGAATGTTTCTCC